CCCCCCCCCCCCCCCCCCCCCCCGGCCACCGGCCAGACGTCCTGCTTCCCAGGGGCACTGGGCAGGTAGATGACTACAGACAAAAGGCCAGAACCACAGTAAACCACCTCTGTGCCGTTCCGGGGAAAATGAGGATGGACTTTTAGCTTACCCAGAGACGTCAAGGTACTATGCATAGAGGAGAATGATGGGGGGGGGGGGCTGTCTGGAGCCAAATATGTGTACAATGTGGATCTGGGGCATTTTGAAGACGACCGGGAGGGGTCGTGACCACAATGGGGGCGGGGAGGCCCAATGCAAGCTGCTCTTACCACTACACAACAAACATCTACACCTGACAGCCATTTTGACTGTACAGCCACCCCCTCTTTCCCCCCACAGCCACAACCGCAATGAAACAACTGAACACCCCCATCTGAGACACAAACCTACAGCGATACAGTCCAGTTTCTTACGTTTCTTCATGCTACCACTGGCCACCGGACACAAACCAGGCTAGAGGAGAGATACTGGACCTTCCTTCGTTTTGGTTACACAATTAAAAATCCTCCACAAAGCCAACATCATTCAGAAAACTGTACTCTCCCTCAAGAAGAATGTTCATCTTGCCCTTCTGTATACCAGGCGCAATCATTATATATAACAAGCTCTCTGATTTGTTGATCTCCTGAATGGGTCAGTGACAGGAGATGGGTGCTGCCAATCACTGCCTGTTTCCACCTTATATACACCAATTAAGTGACCAATGAGAAGCGGATGTCTTTGAACAATGGCTGCTGGCCCCACCTACCATAATTTACAAAGTCATCATCCAGGCATTCATTACCTCAGCTGTCCCCAATCAATCCTGCCCCATCGCCTCTCATGCCACCATGAGGACCTTTACTTACCAAGTTTATTTCATACTGGCTGCCCAAGACCCCAAACAGCAAGGCCCAAAAATATCACTGTCTGAAAAATATCACTGTCTGGCTTGAGGAACCAGGAACGATCCACCCTCAGGGGCAAAGGTCAGTACCCAGCATTCCTCAATGCAATGAGGAATCTCAGTGTTACCTCATAGTCCACAAGTCAGCCTCTAAAAACGACCACCCATTCCTGGGGTCAGTCCTGGGGTTAAGTAGCTGGGGGCTCTCTTTTATGACAGATGGTATTTATTGACCAATAAGCCCACCTACTTCAGTCATGGCTGCCCTGGGTCACTAACGAACCTGGGGAGGGGGGGGGGTTGTTTGGTGAGGACACACCGAAAATAACATAGCAAGAATCGATGCGGTTTCTCAAAACTTTGAAAGAAAACACAAAATGGAAAAAAACAACACAATGCAACCCACCCCCACCCCACAACTGGAGGTGATCTTCATGCGACCCCGCAGCAGGTGTCAGAAACGCGGCTTGCTGACTCAGTGGCACAGAAGCAGAATTACAAGAAAACCCCAAAGAGTGAAGAGTTGCCCGTTCAGGTCATGCGTCCTCTGGAATGCTGGCTGAGAAACAGCACTGCACTCTCAGAAACAGCACTGCACTCTCAGAAACAGCACTGCACTCTCAGAAACAGCACTGCACTCTCAGAACAGGACACACCTTTGGGCATGGAGGAGAAGCACGGTTACCTTACAACACGCTTCACTGACAAAATCCAAGATGCTCAAATTTGCAGCCCGCAGTGTAGCTTGCACTTTTGCAAAGAGACTTCTTAATTCCTTATATTATTTTTTCCCACAATTTTCCGCATATCCTTACCCATAATGCTTTGCGATAGTGTGCTGCTGGGGGTCCTAATCAGCCTTCCATGTTTTTTACGCTCATTCATAACTCGACAGAACAACCAGTGCACAAGAACCCATGTTAACTGGGAGAGAGTCAAACAAGATAGAGACACATTTAGTTTGCCATCCCTTGATGTTCCCGTATCATGGACAGCACAAGGTGTGGAGAAGCCTCTCATGTGGATACCTCAAGGCTGAATTAGCAAGACATGGGATGATTCAGCGTCAGTTTGAGATCTTTCTATAGCATGTACAGAAAACACAGCTGTCAAGTCACATCTATTTTGCCAACATCATGGCCATGGGATGAAAATCTCATGGGTTGCCATGCCCCTCCCCCATTCGCTAAAATTTATTGTGGGGACTCCATATTTCTTCATGACTCACTGTTTTCTCCAAATTTTACAGGTTCGTCACCCATCTCCCTGTTTTCACTGCAGCTACATTGACAGGTGCGCTTTTTCTAACCACAGAACATCACCAGCGTCGAATTTCCAAGCCTAGACAACCTGGCGTCCAGCTCCCGTCTGCTCTGCCAATGGGCTCCTGTATCTGATCCTACTCAAGCAGACCTTGGTTAAGTACAGGAAGCAGGGCAGCAAAGATGGAGCTATGATCATAAGTGTGCCTTGTCAACTTCAAATACTTTTCCCCCCAAACTTAACATCTGCAGGCAGACAGAAAGCTGAGGTAGGCTTATCTCCATGGCAACCAGAAGGGCATGGGGAGGCGGGGGACAGACACCGGACTCCTTAATCCGAGGACCTAGGAAACCACACATAACAATAAACTACTGAGCTGCTGACCTGTACATATTCAGTCTTCCAGCACAAACAGAACGATTTGGGCAACATGAGCCTTGTGATCTCATGATTCCAAGGAGAAGCAAAACCAACACCTCAGAAACTTCACTGGCTGACAGACCGAAGCCACACTGGTGAAAGAGCCTCATCGTTCTGCAGAGAAACGCATGCGACTGATGGCAGGATGAAGCTTTTTAAAACCTTCTATCTGGACACTGTCTGGTGACTAAGAGCAAACCCTTGATAACAATCAGAGTCACTGCAGGCCAACCATCCCAAGAAATGTCTGAGCTGCCTCTTCCAATCACCGCATTTCATCCCCCTCCCTCAGACACATCACCCTCCGTAGGACGATGTAAACTCAAACCCCCAAGTACGTCCTTTCCGTGTGGTCCCTGGGTCCGGTCCCTATATAGAGAGAGAGAGGTAAGGAGCGTGTGCTGATTACAGGGCGCTGCCGCACCCACCACCCACCTCAAGGACGAGCACCTGAGTGAACCTGAATGGAACAGTATGAGTTTTTCCCAGTGGCTGCAGTGTCAATCCTGCCACCAACCACCCAAATTTCCCTGCAAGTTGGAGGACCTCCTTATAGGGCTGGAGGAAAATTAACAACATACCCAGGATGAAGCAATTGCAGGTTAAGGGCCTTGCTCGAGGGCCCAATGGAGTAGGATCACTCCTGACATTCACGGGATTCAAACCAACAACCTTCCGATAGCTGGCACAGATCCCTAACATCAGTGCCCCCAATCCATCCCTACAGTAGAATAAAATTAAACAATGTTACTCATTAATTCTCATGGGAAAATTCTCTTTTCCCCTATCCCATCTGCTCTCCATGAGACACACAGACACATGTACAGGTGAGAATAAGCTTTGAGGTTTAAGTGGCACCACGTGGAGCCCGGGGAGTTGGGGGTTAAGGGCCTTACTCAAGAGCCGACGGACATGTGACTCTTCTGCCAAGCCTGGCCTCAAACCGGGGACCTTCTGATCACAGGCACAGAGGCTCAGCCCACTATACTAAGTAATTGTTACTTGTCCCTGCTGCCAAGACAATAGAAACTGGACCTGAGTAAATAAATCTTAATCAGGCAGAACAATGATCAAAGAAGCAGACTGAGACTTATTATTACAAAAGGAACCACTGCTGCACTTTGTAGAAAAGTCCTTTAACCCGAATTGTTTTCATAGAACACCCTCTAATATATAATTAGATTACGTATCTCACTAGGTAATGTAGAGAGCTCCCAAGGGGGAACGTGCAGGCGGAAGCCGAAGTTCTGATGCTAACAGGTCACATGCTGACCGTTCTGCTGTCTTCCTTCAATCCGGTCATGAGCAGCTCACATATTTTCTTGTAAAGGGCAGTGTTTCTCAACCCAGTCCTCGAGGGACAGTCCACATTTTCCCTCCCTCCCAGCCAATCAA